GAATCGGGACAGGTGCTGTAGCAGGATGGGGGAATGGCAAGTGATGCTGGCTAGTAGATAAATTAAAAACAAAAAATATAACAAGAAGCAGGGGAAAACTCATCGCATTAAATTAGAGAGAGAACAGCAGCAGCAGTAGCAGCACACCCGACAAAGACAACAACAACGGCTGTCAAGGTGACTTTTTGTTATTATTTTTCAATTTCTCTGTGTTCTTCTTGTTCTTTTTCAGACTTGATATAATTTTTCAAGTTCCTTGTGCTGGGATGCGTGCGTGTGTGTGTGCATTGCTAAACAATATTTGATTAAGTTTAGCATAGAGTCTACATTTTGTGTGGCTCAGAGAAAAAAAAGGATGTTGGAATATCTCAAGTATCCCAGGAAGACAGAATACGAGTACAGTACCGGGATTATTGCCCATATGAGAAGAGTCGTTATGCCTTTTTTTTCGATTCGACACAATCAACAAAAACACTCCATTTGAGTGCTGCGATACAAAGAATTATGTTTTTAAATAACAAGCTACTAGTAAGAAAGGAGATTGCTCAAGATGGAGATTATTTGGTGCGGAAGGAAATATTAAGGTGCTGGGTATTTTTCCCATGTTTTAATTCTCGAACATTCTCGGGTGCAAGAATATTGAATATTGAAATCGACTTTGAACGAAGTCACCTTTGACCTGAAGAAGATGTTTTCACCAAGCTCCATTTTGCAGCGGTCGCGGAGGCAGAGTAAAAACATTTCCCTCTGTTCTTGATTTTATTTGATAGTCTTTGAAAGGCAATTCATCAATTTGACTGGCATATGCACATAAATCAACCCAAACAAACCCATAAAAAGCAACCGAAATGGGAAAAACTCTTCAAAGCCATTTATAGTTGTATTCACAGATGTGTGCGCGATGCAACCAACGAAATAAAACGAATATACAATATACATATATAAATTTACTGAAGGATGAAGGGAGGAGGAGGATGGTTGGCTGAATGGATGCATGTAGATTGCCACTTAACAGCAAAATAAAGTTGAGCACAAATTTTTAATTGAATGGCAGCGCATTGAAAAACTTTGAGTTTCCACTAAAATTGATTACACTCACCCGTCCACAGCCACATCCACATCCGCAAGCACAGCCACACGCACTCAGAGAGCGACCGATGCTCGAAAAGTTTTGAGATACACGCAGATTGAGATATTGAGGAAATTATTGAAGCAGAAATCGGCACTCGTGTCAAATGCATAACGTTGAGCTCAATACCAGTCTGCAAACTGAAACCCATGCCTGGTACTCAACTGAACTGAACTGAACCGAACCGAACGGAGGCTGAGGCCTGTCGTTTTGCCAGCATGTTGCAATTTATTCTAATCGCTTGTCGAAGAAAAAAATAGACAGAGACCGGAGTGGCTGGAGGCTGGAGTGGCTGGAGGCCCAGCGATGCGTGTAACGATGCTGCACATGGAGTCAACGGTAAACCAAAGCCGAGACCAGGCCAAAAAGGTTGCCAATTGAGTGGCGCCAATCAATCCTAGTGCCGCTGCCGTTGCCGTTGCCGTTGCTGCTACGGAAAAGTGTGTCAAAAGCATTCCCCCTCTGAGTCGGAGAGAGAGTGAGACCGAGAGCGTTAAACTCCGTGCTGGATGGAGGAACGGACGGCCAGTGGTTCAGAGGAACAGACAGACCAACTGACGGCTTGTTGTGTCGCTTATGGTACTTAATTGACGCCAATCGCATTGACTTGCACTCTCTGCCTCAGCTCCTGCCTCCTGCCTCTGCTGATGGCAAGAAAAATCACAGCTCGTTAGTGTTGTGAGCATACATTACAGGATACAGATGGATGGATGGCTGGATGGATGGATGGGTGGCTCGAAGGAGGACAGGTCTCAGGTACGGCAATCATGCGAAATTGCCAGGTTTTCAGTTAGCAGATTATTAAATGCTCGTGCCAAAACCAGCTGCATGGCACAGTAAGAGCAAACTGTACACTTTTTAAAGGGATTTACACTAACTACCTCCATTCATCGAACTTACCATTCATCACTTATGCCGGGAGTTTTCACAGCCTAAGCAATTCGAAGTGGGTGCTGCCGATGATGCTTCAGCAACCGCAACTCAGTTTATCCACCAAATCAAGAACAAGCAAAGGGAGCTACAGAGGCAGCTACAAACATGACAGCCAACACAAGAACAGCCCCGTTTATACATTTCCAAACCTCTGCCATTTAAAACACGTTCGTCTGACTGCACTGAAACGAAAACTCATGGAAATATTGAACGGTAAACGCTCTGGTAATAAAAGTATTAACGGTGACTTTATTTTCCTTCTACCAGATTCAGTCTTCAGTTAGATGGCTCTTTTCTCGCAATGTATTTTTGGGCAGTGTGTGTATTTTGTTAATGATTATTTGACGCCATGTTTGATTGACGTGCATCGGCTGCTGGTTCTGGTTCTGGCGCTCCCTGCCTTGCTCTCATTGTGTAAATTGTATTATGGTCTCTCTCTCTCTCTGTCTATCTGTCAGTCTTTCTCTTTCCACAGCTAACTCTCTACACTCCTCTTTGCCTGTTAATGGGACGCTAAAGACCGCAAGAACCACAAGGCACTTATCAATTTTTGCGCCTTTACAAAATGGCACTCAAGCGTGTAGTCGTGTACGCACTTCCGTTGATATCAGAGACATGCGTATGTGTGAGTGGGGTGTCTTTTCATTGGTGTGCGTGTATTAATATTCCGTTAAATTGACATTTACATGATGAAGATGAGGCTGATGACGCCGATGCTGATGACGTGTGTGTTCTAAACGCTTGCCCGACTTTTCCCCTCGGAAAATAATTCAAGATCTACATACGGTTATGTATGTAATTTATCTTCATCACAGCATTGAGTGCTTGAGAAAATCAAAGACAAAAGCACAACTCAAGTGCTTAATGTAGTTTTGATTGGATGGCAAAATATTGCATAAATATATTTTCTAATTATCGCTCGGTATTTGGGGAGTATGGGCATTTTTCTGTCTGTTTTTGTGAATGTATTGCTGACCACAACCACCTGACTAGTGTGGTGAAAATATAGCTGAATTCATTGCCATCTAACAGTTTTATCTCGCATCAGTTTTAATCACCCCTTTTAGAAATTCACTTTTCAATTCTATAAATGTACATATCGAACTTTGTGGAGAGCAATTTGGAAATCGACTTTTCGTTCATCCTTCAATAATACGTTCGTTTAACAGAACAGTTTAAGTGGTGCACTTTTTTGTGGGTGCTTCTGTCTGAGCGACAGTTTTGTGCTGGTAATGCCCTCAGCAATTTGCTAACATTCAACTCAGCCATGTCCAAAATGGCCTACACTTGCATGCCACTACAACAAGCTCTCCTTCGTGTCCGAGTCCGTGTCCGTGTTCGTCGCGTATGTCAGCCAGTATGCGTGTGCCTGATGTTGTTGGATAAACTATGTAGAGTCCTTGAAAAACATGCAGGCCATAGAGGCGGAATGCCAGCGGCTGCAGAAACAACAACGAGCGCAACAAATAACTGAAATAAAAAGGAAAAGTTAACAGTTGACATAGTTTAGAGTTGCCTGGCCAGACGGGTAGGATGGGTACGACGGGTTGGATGGGGGTGGCCGGGGGTGGCCGGGCTCTCGACCGGCAGGGAGAAAGCTCTCGGCTTGGGTTCAACAGCCACAAGCGTAAGCCGTTGAATGCGACATGGAATGAATGTCTTAATCAGAGTGTGTAGCTTTCGCCCCATCCTTTCCGTTGAATCAGTGAGCGTTGGTCGTTGCACGGGGTAAAAGGAAAATTGGTGCCAAACTAAATGAATTTAATTGCCGCAGGATATGAAAGTAATTATTTTGCAGTGCATAGACACAACACAGCCAGTGGGGAGTCGCAGAGTGGTAGAGTGTAGTGGCAGGGGTGAAGTGACAGTGTGGCAGAGAGGCTTAGGCTAAAAACGCAATGAGGCCAAAGGCGAACCTACTTCTGTCTCATTCGCATGTGTGTTTTGGCATCGATGCACTTGCACTTAACAGCAAAGGGGCATACCAAACGCACACGCCCCACGCCTATGCCCCATATGCACTGCACCACTGCAAATTGCCCCGCGGTTATTTCGAGTTGTTCTTTAATTTATTCTCTTTTATGCCTGCTCGTTCGTTGTCCTTGCAACTGGATGTGTGTTAGTGTGTCTCTGTATCCAGTATCCACAGTGTGGAGAGCAACAGCAACAGCAGCAGCAGCAGCACCGAAGAGGCAGGCTCTACAAAAGCCAGCGATGTGTTACAATTCCAATTGTCGTTGTCTCTCAATATTTCCAGCCTGTGCTGCGTATGGTGTGTGTGTGTGTGTGTGTTTGTGTGTTGTGTTTCCATGTGTGCGTCGATGGGAGGTGGAAGTGTAATGCTGCTTGTTTACAAGCCGTGTTCTCTGTTGCCTAGATCAACGTTTCTTTCTGTTCGTTGTTGCATTGTTAGTCGCGGGACCTTGTAACACTTTCGATCAAACTCTCGCATACTCATGTAAAACCGCCTACGGGCACACACACACACACACACACACACACACATGCGAACAAATGAGCGATTCTGCCATTCAATTTCAAGTCCAATTATAAATGGCTGTTGCGCCTGGTGCAGCTGGATTGATGCACCGCTCTCTTGAATGTACCATATATACTCGTAAGTACGGCACGGCCTTTAATAAATTAAGAAAAAAAATATAGTTTAGCCAGGATGGAGGATGCTCTGCTCATGGTATCTATAAACAAGATATGTACATTTTTGAATTAAAGCCATTCATCACACAGCTTTAAATAGCAACGAAAATAGGAACAGTTTGTATTACAAATTTTCCTATTTTAATTCCTTCTAAGTCATACTCATACTCATGCAGCTGTCGTAATTGGACGATCAGTAGAAAGTAGAGTAAAAAGCTGCACGAAGTAAAGTGTTCTCTGTTGGTACGATTAGTTTAAAATTCTTTATTTGAATGGTTTGGCTTATGGTGTAGTGTCGCTACTGTTCCTGGTCAAACTGTGGCGTCCGCACGTAAACGGGAGCCGGATGGGTCAGGCCGTAGTTACGCACAACCTTTGGGTAGTTGGAGGCGTACTCCTGCTGGGGGTAGCTGGCTGGCTGGTACGCAGAGGAACTCTCTTGGCTGGCCCGAGATCCCTTGCGATATCTGGGCGTGAACTCCCTCGGCTGATAATAGTAGCCGTTGTAGGCATCGATCAGGCGACTCACGTCCACGGGTGCTTCGATCGAGCGATCGAACGATCGAGTCTTGTGTTTTGGTGGTGGCGGTGGTGGTGGGAAGGGGTAAGGGGGATAATATCCGGGGTAGGGGTATCCGAAAGGTGGGGGATAGGGCGGGTATCCCCCATATTTCGGCGGTGGAGTGTGTCCGGGTGGCTTTCCAGAACCGCCAGAGCTTGGCTTCGAAGTGGTGTCGGTGCCGTTGATGATCAGTATGCAATTGACAGTGGGTGTACCCTCGTCATCGTTGTCACTACCACTGCCGCTTCCGTGTCCACTTCCGTGTCCACTACCATGTCCACTACCATGTCCACTGCTGCTTCCACTTCCGTGGCCGCTTCCGTGTCCACTGCTGCCTCCACTGCCGCTGGAGCCGCCCGAAGAGGAGCTAGAAGCACTGTTCGACTCGTATGCCACGCTAATCGACCGTTTGCTTTCCTCATCGTCCTCGTCCACGTTTTTGTTGGAGATCACGCACAGGGGCTGGCCTTTCTTGGTGATCACCTCCCTGGGGCTGGAGCTGAAGAGCGCCGGAAGGAAATTGCCAGCGGCAAGGCCACCCGTAACTCCAGCAGCCAGACCCTTGATGCCAGCAAACGAGCTGCTGAGCAGCCGAGCCTCGGAGACCATCTCCTTGCCCTGGGTGAGGCGCAGGAGCTCGTTGTACTCGGAGCGTGTCACCTGATGGAGGCGCACCACATGGGGACGACTCGTGCCTGCCAAAGGAGATGTTTATTCGAAGGAACCTGCACGCTGCCTCTGAAGGCTCTGTTCAAGGGACACTCACCAGCATGTGCTGCCGCGAGGCAGAGCACGAAAACTGCCAGAACCGGAAAGATCTTCATTGCGATCGCGAATAAGCTGGACTAGCTCTGCTCCCTCGCTTATATATTTTGAAAGTTGACGACTTTCCTTAGGCCTTTGTCATTCAAATCATATGTTCATCAGAACAGATGCTCATCAACAGAAAAGCCAACGCCCTAATCGACTACGAATCTCCATAATTAATGCTCTGACCCAATTCTCCCAGAACATGGCCATAATCAGACTCGTTTTATTTATTGTTTCTTCGAGCATTTCGACCAAAACATTAATTGTTTCCCTCGTTTCAGCCGTTTGTATGATAATATTATTTTTTATGGCTTGGCCAAATTAAAGACAGACAGTCCACAGCAATGAGTCATAGTCCATCATGATTTTGATCAATAAATAGAACAGATACATATCATCAATCAGTCTGTTGCTCGAAGATTCTTTCAGTCGGCTTCATTTCCCAGGTAAATGCCAAAAACCATTCCCAAAACATATTTCGTTTAAATGTAAACAATTTTATTTAAAAAGAGCTAATTAGCCTAAACTTTTTTATAATAGATCATAGATTTTTTATCATAGCCGTATAGATCTTCATCTTCCGCCTCATAGGAGTCCTCGTTTTCGTCCTGATCATCATCGGCCTCCGGCGTCTCATTTGTGGCTTGGGGCTGTTCGAAGTAGGAGTAGGGACCATAAGGATTGGGCGAGGGTTGACCATAGTATGGCTGGGGGTAGTAAGGACTTCCGATTGGCGTCTGCCCACCGAATGGTTGTGGTTGACCAAAGGGTGGCTGCGGACCGAAGGGTTGCTGCGAACCAAAGGGCTGCTGTGGCGGAAAGGGAGACAGCGACTGTCCATAGGGGGGATAGGACTGTGAACCATAAGACTGCAGGGGGCTGTATGGATAACCACCATAAGGTGAATAGGCTCCGTATTGCGGGGTGGTGGTGGTGGTGGATAGCCAGCTCCATATTGGCGTGGCAGGTCGGAGTGATCCTCGGAGCTATCAGCCGTGGATTCACTGCTAATATTATGTTTCTTCGACTTGGACCTAGATCTCTGGGGAGTCTCGCTGGTTACCTCCACCTCCGTTTGCTCTTCCACTTCCTCCGCTTGCTCCTCCACTTCCTCCGCTTGCTCTTTTACGGCTGCTTCTTCCCCTGAAGGAACTACTGCCGATTGTGGGTACCAATATTGTTGGCTTTGATATTGAGTAGGCAGCTCAAGGTCCGGTTCCTTCTTCAGCACCACAATGCAGTTAATGGCCTCCTCCTCATCTTGGGTATCGGTGGCTGAGCTGCGGGCAGAGCCCTCCTCCCTGGGCGCGTCCTCCCTCGTCTTGATCACGCACAGGGGCTGGCCATCGAAATCGACCTTGGTCTCCTCATTGGCCTTGCTCAACGTGGTGAGCCCCACGATCCGCAGCAGAGAGTGCCAGCCGGAGCTGAGGCTATCGCTGACCGTGGCGAAGCCACCGTTGATCAGTCGCGCCTCGGAGATGACATTCTTGCCCTGCGTCAGCTGGAGAACCCTGTCGTACTGCTTCTGGTTGATGCTGTAGACACGAACTAGCTCCTGACGCCTGCTCTTCTTACTTTCTCTAGTCGACGGAGATGGTGCTGTGAAATGAGAGGTTTATCCACGTGGCAGAATTTTCAGAGGAGATCACGCACCTGCATCTAGACTGGCGAAAAGACCCAGCAACATCATCAGCAGCAGCAGTGCTAAGCCCCGATCCACTGAAAGCTGCAGCATGTTCTAAGATCTGGACCTAAAACGGACTAAAATGGGTTCACTAGTCTCTGGTTTTATTTATACATATGGCAAGAACGGTAAAACAAACAAAAAATCGCCCCTCATATGGACTGGGTGAAAAATTGCAATTAAATAAATTTTTGACGGACAGACATCAGCCTCTTGAGAATCGTGGCAGCTGGCAACTGTCAGCCGTCGCGTCGCATTGATTTGAATAATTTAGTCAAATTTGAGACACATTTATACAAAATCGAGTCAATGAACGCGTTATTTCCCAATCTACTAGCAAGTAGATGAGATGAACCGGTTCTGTTATTCAGCTGAGAAACACAGAACTGAATGATTAAAGTCAAGTCGTTAACGACCCCATTAGTGGAGAGCAGACCCAGAAAAAGACAAGCGCCAAAATTTATTAAATTTTCTAAATCATAATTTTATTTCATTTCATTTCATCTTTGTGGTTGTGTGGCTGTGTTAAACATTCCTATCTGTAGATGACACACACGCATATACGGTATGTACGGGTATATAGAGTACCTGGTTTATATGTAGATATATGTATGGTATGTATGTACTTATAGCTGCAATGCATTTCGTATTTTGCTAGGGTTTCATTTTGTTATTGTTTGCACTCAGGGACAGACCTTAGCCTAAACATCTATGGGGACGGGACCCCTGGGAGTGCAGGGCGTCCGTGTCTTTGGATAAGTTCAATGCCAGCTCTGATAATGCAAAATCCAATCATTCTATATACAATATGTATGTATGTACGACGGTATGTGGTAACCGTATTCAATTTAGCTAATTCTCTTTTCACGTATTATATGAACTCTGTGTGGTTTTTCTCTGGATTCTCTGGTTCGCTGGATAATTAATTTACTCGTATGTTATGTGTGTGGTTTATGACAATTTGGATTTACTGATGTGCCGCTTACAGACTACTCGAATCGTACTCGTATTTTTCGGTTAATAGTTAATTAAAATTACAGTTGTTTTCTACTAATCAATTTATTTACATTGCCCCTGCCTGGCCAATTTGCATCGTATTCGTATTTGTATCAATTATCAATCGATAAACACAATTATCCGTTTCCTTTTTGCTTTCTTTTTTAATATCTCCTCTTGTTTAGTACTTTTTGTTGTTTCATTCTCTTCCTATTTCATCCAAAACTAATTATATACAATTAAACGAGTCTCTACGCCAATTGGGTCCGTCATCAACAAGGCGTTTACGCATAATGTTCGACTGCTGGACGAGTGGAGTTAAATGTTTTCCCACTCGTGGCTTATCGGCTTACCGGCTATACACACACACACATACAATACATGCTCATACGATTACGAGTACTTATCCATAGCTAATACCTAAAACTGATAAATGTGCAAAGCAACTGAGAGAAATATTTGAAAACGAAATAATCGGATGAGTGTTGCTTTGAAGTACTCTTGAGTAACTCTCTGGAATGGCAATTATTTACAGCATATTTCAATCGGTTAGCTTGGTGCCGTGGTCTACAGAAGTGTGTATACGGTACGCGTCCAGTGTGGGTTTATTGGCAGTTAAGGATTCCATAGAAGGAGGTGGAGGCTCAACGGAAGAGCTCTACGCGGAGGGGTTAGGGCTTGTGTTCTGGTTCGGGTTCGGGTTCGAAGCATATTAATAGCTAGTAAGTCTTATTTCGTAATGAGAGTGTGTGTAGGAAAGCTTAGCTATGGGTGTGCCATCGATGATCTGTTAGCAGTGATCGCAATCGGAACAGCTATCGATGGTCTGTAATCAGTAATTGTTGATCTTTTATCCAGTGCTGATTATAATTATACGCTAACGATTAGGTTCGTCGGTTATTAATTCGCTTCAATCAATGTAAGAACAAATCACATTTAGATACTCGGCAAATACTAACATTCATCGATCAGCTTATCGGTAGCTGATTAACGGTAATCGAAAAGGGACAACAAAAACAAATTTTCAGAAATTTTAAATGGATTTTTCTCTAATTTATTATGTGACATTTTATATTGGTATTTATTACTGTCTATCGGTATCGATGCCTTAGTCGAATATGAATTATCGATACCGTTGCGGATATCGATCACTTGCCAACAAAATCATCACAAATCACACAAAGATTAATAAGTATTACATCGACTCTTGTTTATTCTCTGTAAACATTAAACTAGATTATGATAATCCACGGAAAATGCATAGGTTTTCCTCGTGCCAGACGCTGGGCTCAGGGTCAGGCTCAGGCTCAGGTTTCCTCAGCCTTTGGCTTCTTTGCCCTACCCTTCGCTTTTCCTTTCCCTTTGTATGTTATCGGATAATATGTTTTCTTTTCCACTACGTGCACTCATCATCTTAGACATTAATAAATACTTTTTCGTGAGCCAACACAGACCTGACCTCGCCCCCAAACCAAACTTAAATCACCTTGAATGTGGGCCTGGTGTAGGTATGTGTGTTTGCCTTAATAGTGTTCTGCTGATTCCTGTTTTGCCTCATCGGCGTGTTGATTATTCCTTCATCTCATGCACTGATCAGCCGCGGGGCGTACGCGCAACATATTTCCCGTTGCTGCAGCTGCAGCTACCGCTGCTCCTGTTTCAGTTTGCGCCGTGACTCCTAGTGCTCCTCTTGTTTTCAGCGCTGTACGCCGGGGGAACTTGAGCGCCATAACCGTACCTGTGTTTGCCGTTGTAGAGACGCATCCACTCCCGGACTCATACCACTGCTGCAGGCAGCAGGAGACAATGCTAAGCAGCATGCAGCAGATGCCGCAGTAGAAGCTGTTGCTGTTGCTGCTCGAGTTGTGTTGCATAGCCGCCGGGTGTTCGCCTGCGCGAAAAACAAACAAGCAAATAGACACATGGATACAATTGAGAGGGAAATGCCTTTCAGTTCATCGGTTAATTGGTAATGCAAGAGGCACAAGGCAAGGCACAAAGCAAATGCCGCTTCCGGCCCGCTGATTGCCACTGACAGTGTCACAAACACACACACACACACATACACTATCTACCCTTCTCTATATATTGGTAAGTATACAATATATTGTATATATTTTTATCCAAAGACTTCAGTTTGCATGCATGCAGCTCCTGTTTGCCCCAAAGAACAACATGAGGCTGCTCAAGTTGTTACAGTTTTCGATGAGCTCTTGAGCACACAAGTTGCTCCAATAAACCTGACGGGCCTCCCTCCTCATCCTGCTCTGAGAACATCACATGTTATTGGCCTGAGCACTTGCTGCAAACTTTTAGTTTAGTTAAGGCTGCAAGCTGCAGCTGGAAATAATTTCCGCTCTGCTGCACAAATACAAACAGGCGGAAGAATCGGAACGAAAAATATGCATCGAGATGACTCCAGCGCACCGAACCCTCAACTCTTTTATGCCGGTTTTACCTTTCAATTGCTGAAGTCGTATTATATACTAAAAAAACACATACCATGTACATATGTGTGGTAGCCAAAGGCCTGGGGACATATATTATCGATAAAGTCATCCGATGTAGATACAACTTAGCAGAATTGATCAATTGAATCAATAAAGTTATAAATAGAAATAAACGATCTGCCTTTATAAAAGAGTGACTCGTACGCCGAGCAAGCTCACATCTTAGGAGACGGACAGGAATTTGAGTATATGCGGACTGGGGTCAAAAATGTTTCCCTTCCCACTGTACCGCTCTCTAGGAGTGTAACAAGAAGTAACTAGAAAATTTCCTGCTGCCTTTACTGCAATGCAATTACTGCACTGCACTGCCCCGAACCATACCGCGCCCTGCAATTGGCATAACAAATGGCGAATGTTCAGCCATTGCTGCTGGCAGGCAACTTCCACTTTCCGTCATAAACATGCAAAACACTCTGACAGCACAGGCACACAGATGCACACAAAGTTGGGTGGGGGGATAGGGGATGCACTACATATACACTTACCAATAATTACGTGCACATAGACGCTCGAGGTTTTCGCCACCGTGGGCACACAGGTGTAGTTGCCAGTATCGCCGAGCATGGCGTGCTTGATTTTTAATCTGCTCCGCGGAGAGAAACAGAGAAGGGGAAAAATAGAAACGGAGAAACGAAAACGAAAAGAACAGAGAAACATGGAGAAAATGAATGTCAGCGAGGGAATGCAGTTAGAATAAACGTAAAGGGGCTGCAGAAAAAAAATACAAAAAACTTTTGCTACTTTATGCGATTGCATAATGTGTGTCGAGCTGCCGCCATCGCCATGACTGGCTCTAATTCCGAGTAACCCTCCTCTTCCACTCCCTCTCTCTTTCGCTTTCTGCTTTTTTTTTAAGTCCTTCCATCTCTGTCATCCGCACCTGCATTTTATGGTCGTCTGGGCCGTTAGTTAACAGCATAAATGGGCAATGATCAGGGGGCTGCAACGAGAGACGAGGAACTAACTACTGCGGCCCCGACTCTTGCTCCTACTCTGACTCTGACTCCGTCTGTGAGTCAATCACCGCCTCCTCCTCTGACTCCATCTCTGGCTACTGCTCTGACTTTCACCAAAGCAAATTAAAAGTCACACACGGCTAACTTGAGCATCCTCCGGTGAGGATGGCATGGGATGGAAACCCAACTACCGTGCTCCGATAATACCCTGCCAAGTGGAGCTCAGTGGCATAATGACTTAGAAAGACACACAGTGAAAGAAAAACTACTTCTCGTTTATGCATTAGAAGGGTCCCAGATAGTAACCAAATAGTAACTCTCAGGAAAGGCATTTAATTGCAATTAGGTGTTCATTGCAAAGCAACTTTTACATATACTACAACACCTTCACCTGCGGAGATATGTTAACCAATCGAATCTCTAATCTCTTGAGACTTCAGTTTCATCACTTCAGTGGAGACTTCTCCTTTCTGGCCTGGCTGGTAGTATCCCCTTTGTAGACAATGCTGACAGGCCCAGGCCTAACACAGTTTACCTCTCGAAAAAAAAAACTCCTGCTTACACAGCCATACGAAGACAGCCAGGAGAGAGAGAGAGAGCGAGCGAGAGAGCAGAGTCTCTCCAGCCCAGACTTGTCCTTCGCTTTGGCCTTAAAATGTCATTCAAAGTCGGAGTCCGTGTCTCCCCCGGCTGCAAGCCAGGTTGGTCTTAAATGCCTGCCCCGACTGACTGGATGGCTGGTTTCTGGCTTGTTCTGGCTCTGGCCTTAATTAAGTGAGGCGGCATTTTAATGCAAAATAACTGAAATGCTCGTCGTATGTAATGTAAGGATGGGGAGAGTCGTTACATACCTCGAAGTCAGGCCGTCCGACCAATCATCCTCGACGCGGATGCGGGCCATGGAGCTGTCGATTTCATTTTCGCCCTTGCCATCGAGCATTTCGGTGCCTGGAATGCGGAGTGAGAGCAAATTGAATTGTGCGAATGAGGTGCGGATGCCACATTATGCTGCTGCGACAGAGGTTCATTACGCATACGCACCTTTGTACCAGAATATGTTGCCCAGCTCATGGGGTCCCTGCATAATTTTACAGGTTAGGTTAATGTCGCTGCCTGTCTTCACCATCAGATCGCTGGGCCCGAAGATTTCCGCCTTGAGTTCTGCAAAAAAAAAAAGAAAGCCAAAGCGACAGAGAACAAAAAGTCACTTAAGTTGCCAACAGACAAAGGCAGCTTCCGTATCGTAACAATGATAATAATAATAATGTTAATGATAACGTCCAAGTGCGCGTTTTTCTGACTGTAAATGTGTATATGTGAGTGAGATGGAGAAGGGAGAGGAAGATGGAGAGGGAGAGCATGGGCAAGGGCAAAGGGATGGGGATGGGCCCTACTTTATTACACAGACGCGTGTCTCTATTATGCTGGCGATAAGCTTTTGTTATGCCATATAAAAGACAGTAATATGCCCCGTGCTCGTACTACCTGCACTTCCTTTCTTTCTTTTGCCTTTGGCCTTCTGTTCTCTCTATGGAATTCGTCTAAGAGAAAGTACGATGAATTTCGCTAGCTGCTTTCTATGCCATCTGGAGCCAAAATCAAAATGTCAACATTGAAGTGCCTTTTGTTGTTCCCAGCGTCAATGATTTCAATTGAGAAAAATTCTCGTGGACGGCTTTGAAATGCGATTTTTTCTTAAAGCTTATGACTGCTGACAGTTGCCCTAATGGAAAACGTCTCTGCCATCGACGTTCCCCCCATCAAAACCTAGTCCCCCGTCTACCACTAATGCAAGTGCTAAATAACAGCGAAGAGAAAACGGCAAATGGGGAACAAAAAGCAACTCTTCCATTGCTGTTCCACTTTCACTCTTGCTTGCCTCGTAAACTGGCAGGAGGAAAAACTTTCGCAGGTCCTAAACAACCGCAAAGCCCGTGGAAATAAATTGCAGCAAAGGAAGGGATGGGCGGGGGAGCAGAGAGAGTGAGAGAGAGAGATAGCGGGAGGGCAGGGCGGTGGAACTGGGAGTGCAACTGGAACATCTGTACACAGGATACAGCTGCGGCATAAACATACGCATTGATGTGGCTAAGCTTTGCTGTGAGGGCTGCCATTCAATCGTGTTGCAAAACCGAGTGAAAAAACGAATTCTGAAAGCTCGAAAAAACCCTTTGGCGGAGGAATATGTTGCAAAAGTGTTTCATACTTTGCATGAACTCAAGCAAAAGCCGCTTCCCATGGAGTCTGCCGAAGGGTATATAGATTTAGTACTAACAGACGATTCAATATAGCTAGAGCATTGGTGTGTCGATACCCTGCTAATACCCAGATCCAGAATAACAGGTATACGTTTAAGAACTGAACAATATTCCTCCATTTTCATCTGCACAAAGGATAAAATAAAATCCGTTTGGCAGGCATCCCTATGGCCATACTCTATGACTTCACATTAAATTTTTACTGAACATTCGCCTTTAAATCAGGTGGGTATGTGTGTGCGTGGGAAAAGATAGATCAGACTGGTAGGAACCCAAAAATGTTAATCTAAATGAAATGCCAAGTGGAAAAAGTAATACACATCCTCAAAACAAAGAAGGGCGAACAAAGGCAGAATAAAATGGAGGGGAGAACAAACCCCAAATGGAATTCGAACACGCTGGACGATTATCTGGCTGTTTTATAGACCCGCACAGAAGTCGCTTCGCTCCGCTCTAGAGAAAAGCGCTGAGTATGGCACATTGTTGTTGTTGTTGCCCCAACCTCGTGGCAACTGCTGCTGCTGATGGTTGTTGTACCTGGCAAAACAATTGTGGCAGCGAAAGCTAACCGTCTATGACTTCTGGCAACGGCAACGGGAACCCCAACGAAAGGCGGACAGGACTAGAATGGCTGGGAAAATTATTGCCGCACACATGCAGCTGACAACGCGCTTGTGGTTCCCACGAGAAGCACGGGTGCTGTGGCAGGGTGTGGTTGGGTCAGGTGTGAATGTATGCGGAAGCCCGCATGCGGCAGGGGCAGAGGCAGATATGGCTCCATCTCTTGACTCTCGACTCTAGCTCCAGCTCTGGCTCTGGCTACGACGCCTCCTACTGCCTAATGCCCTACCTGCTGACAGGGAATACAAATGCGAGCAGTTTGCTGCACGGCCACGACGTGCAGTGGCGTGGATCTCCCCGAGGAAATTGCTTATTTAACTATAATTAGATTAAGTGTTCCTGGCAATTGGCGAGCTGCATTATGAATGAGGAATGGCCAGCCTAGCCGATGATGCTAGGCCCGAGCTAAACCGACAGCTGTTTGAAGTTTTCATTAGACTTGGCCACAGTTGACGTTGACCCAGGCCGAAAAAAAGTTGCAAGCTCCACTGCTGGCCGCATGCCAAAGTCAGAACGAGAAAGTGCAAAGTGTCTGTGTCTGTTTCTGTTCCTGGATCTCAGGGCAAACAAAGTCCTTACTGAGTCTTGTTTGCACACGAGTCGGGACGATGTACAGGCCCAGCAGCCCAGGCCCAGTAGCAGGGGCCTGGAATACTTTTTTGTGCAGCCGCAGCAGAAAGCGGAAAATGGGAACTTGGAAAGATGAGCAGAAGGAAATGGAGGAGGAGAATGCATTTTCATTTTTCTTGATTTCGCGCATAAAATGCGCATAAGCCTATATGGCCATAAACATTTAGAGCAATGAACTTTGCACAAGCCAGCATGCTGGCTGCAGCATCATGCCCACACCCAGCCCCCGACATGGCATACTTTTTGGGGCCAGACCGAGGACCATTACCATTGCAGCCTTGCTCCCGGGTATCCTTACTCTCTTACTCTCGCTGCTGTGGGCCACAGGGACCGCCTGTGTAGGGGCTGTAAAAATTTATTACCCTTCGGCTATGTTGATGCATGTTTGCACACATGTAACAACATCTGAGTATTTATTGCCCGAATAACCATCCCGAACTGGGGCGCAAGGGATCTGCCCGCATTTAAGTCTTTAAATTCTGGAGGACAATTAATCGGAAGCGATTATTTGCGGGGCTCCAATTGCTTGGAACTAATTGTCAAATCAAATAAACAAATTCAATTTGTAAAAGTCAGCCGCATTGCCAGCAGCACAATTGATGAAGTATTTGTGTGTGTCTACCCTCCTCCTCCTTCTCCTCTTAAGACGAATCCACTCCACTCCATTCAGTTCGTATTTGCCTGTACAGATCTGGCTGCCAGTCCCAGTGCCACTCCCATTGCCGCCCATTCCAGCAATGGCAAAATGAAAATGCCCAAAACATCATCATCATGGGCCGAGTCCCGTTCCGGGCCTATTCAGTACCCTCCATTGTTGTGATTATTATTATTATTAATAATTCGACGATGCTGCAGAGACATTAATCATTTCCTTTCCCTCTTTCCCACTCTCTCTATCTGCCTCTGCCATTCCGTTGTGCAATATCTCAGTAATTTATCATTGGGGCATTTTTTGGTCTAGGCATTCGCCAGAGAATGTAATTTGAGGAGCAAATGAACGAAATGGGAAGTAAAACATTTGATTGCCGAGCAAATTGTCCGGACCTGCCGCTTCCCCCTCTGTCTGCCTCTTGGATTATGTAACACAAGTATTCACAAAAACTCATTATACCCCTTCGGATCATTTTAATACACAGTATTCACAAAACGGAAAGAGTCTCGTCTCCCCTAAAGCTACTTAATTAAATTCGGTTACTTTCCAGTTGTTGGATGGTTCTTGCCTCAAGTACCTTACCTTTTGCATGCAGACAAAAATCCTTCTGCATCACAATATTGAAGAAATCCTTTGTTTTTGACAATGTCATTAAATGTATATCAGTTACCCGAAATCAAGAGTTCATTCATGGGCATTCGTAAGTCTTTGCCCATATAGAAAGTCTGGTTGGGTAATGGGAGTTCGAATAGGATTTATCTTATGAGTTTTACCAGTGATTGGCTCTATTCTACTCCTATTCTGTATGCAGGAAGTAAGAAAAATGAAGCAGCGGCTACAGCTACCTCTGGCCATAGCTGGGGCAATGGTACTGCTCTGCCCCTCCTCTGAATAATTATTTGCGCTTGATTGCATGCAATTTGCCGGCTGCTAATGTCAACAGCATCGCAGAAGCGTCTTAGGACATCTGAGGAGCAGCAAAAGGAGAAGGAGCAGGAGTAACAGCACCAGTAGAGTGTTGCTTTATGGAGCCCGAAATGAGCCATCTACTTGGCATCTCCATCTTGCCAGCCACGTATTCAAATTGCCTTCAATACCCCGCCCGCTCTCTCTCTCTCTCTCACTCTCTCCCTATCGCTGACAACTGCAGCGTTTCGTCTCTTCCCTGTCTTTGCAATTTGTTTTCCACTTTTCCCTCCAGTCTCTCTCTCTCCTCTTACAGAAACTCTCAACCAAGCCCCAACCCTTCCCCCTTCCAAATCACCCTTAACTAAGGAAGGTGGCGCTTACGCTTGATTACATTCGCGCTGGTAAACAAATTTTTCCAGAAACCCAACAACACCTTTCTTTTTCTTAATACGAGTATACTCTTCCAGGGAGTATAATGATTTTGTGGCCAAGCTTCAACGATATCTGCCTGAAACTCTGCATGAAAAGTTATTTCAAATCTGACTACTCATATGGTTTGTAACCGTAATGGTAAACGGTAATATGCAAGAGCATCAAAAGCTTCGGTTTCTCCTCTCTCTCTCTATCTCTTCTCTTGGTTTCTCACTATACTTTTCCTTGTCCTTGTCCTTGTCCTGGTACTGTCACTCTGCCAGCCGCTGTCGCTCAGTTTGAGTGGGACAGGGACACATAATTTAATTTACAATTTGCTCACTTTATCAGCACGTTTGGTAATTTGCCTTAAATTCAAAATTAAATCGAGGACGGAGCAACAACTCAGCGTCGTCTCCAGTTATCTGGCTGCATATAAACATGACCTCCACTGTAGCACCTAGGTGGTACTTGCCCCCCGCTTCACACTCTGAGAGTCTGAGAGTCTCAGAGTCGAGTCGAGAACATAAAGTTGGTAATTTAAGCAATTGGAGCGGCTGCTGTTGCATTAAAATGTCAAAAATATGGCTGCCTGGGCGGAAGAGGAGGCCCAGCACCGAACTGATGGCTGTGGTGGGGGTGAGGGCGGAGACGGAGGCGATTTATGTTTATGATGCGCTGGTCAGCCTGGCGCTATTTTGTGTATCATTCTGTGGAGTCTTGGTCCTGCCCCACTGTCTCTCCCCCCACCCAACACCCTGTCTTTCCGACCTCTCCTCTGGCTGACTGGCGTGTAATAGAATTTCAGTGGCGTCGAAAAGAAGCACAAGAAGCGGAGTGCGGGGGAAAAAACACACAAATTTATGGAATTTTTAGTGCAATTTTTTATTTGCATAAGCGCATAAAAAATTTCTGCCATAACAACAAACTTGTTTGCAGCGCGACAATGGCAGCAGACACCGCACAGTGGAACCACCAAACAGTCCCCCAGTTGCTAGATAAATACTTAAGTATTTGAATGGTTTCCAACTCTGGGAATATGTCACACTGTTACAAAACAGTTAACGTTAACAGTGCCTTCCATTAAATGTACATTTTGGCATGCAATCGATGGAGTTTCATCCAAATTGCTTCCCTGTGGCGAAGAATGCACTTGATCTGGTTGTTTGCACACCACTGTGCATACCACTGACCTGCTGTTTGCTGTTTCCGCATGAGTGGCATGTCGAATATTTTACTCGCACGAGTATATGCACACTTCTTTTTGGGCATTCAGATGTGTGCGAACATGGAAGGAAGCTCTGGGAGTACTCCTGGCATGGGCACAGTTGTGTACACATGTACATACATACATACGTGTATACGTACTATATATACGTATGTATGCACCAGTTTGGCAGTCATTTGCATTTCCGCAAATGTAATATTTATGACTTCTATGTGTCTCTACCCATGAGTGGGTCTAGCTTGATGCTGGGTTTGTCAGTCTGTCAAGGGTCTTCTGTTGGTTTAGTATGCGTGTAAACTTATATGCAAAACACTCTTTCGTATTCCTGCCGCCACTAAAAGATTCATAACCGAGTAAGGGCTGACCAAAGCATTTTATGCTGCCCCAAAGTCGCTTGTCCATGTGGCTAAAACAACATCCAGGCACACACAGAAACTACTGGTAGTGTGAGTGCGAAATCAGAGATCAAATAAGCTCATCGAGGGCACTCTTCCGCACCAGAAGCTTTTAGCTAAATGCATTTTGCTAATACGAATTTCGATAAAAATGCACCAACATCCCACAAAGGTTTGGCCCACAGCTGCTGTTATGTTGGGTACTCCCAAGGATCTTTCAAATGGCCATATAATCATCCATCCATGCAGAACGGCTGACGAGGCAAGGGCAAGGCACACTGTGTGGGAAGGGTCGTGTTTGTCTCCTGTTCCCTGCCCCAAGCTGAGAGCAAACTAATTACAATACCCAGAGGTAAGTAATGTTTATAAAGAGCTTCTATATAATCGCATATCCCCTTAACAGCAACAAAAACAGCAACAGCAACTGCAACAGCTTCAACTGCTTGGCAAGCCAATTTGCACATAATCGAATTGAAAATTTTATAATCACAAGCTGAAGATGATGCCCCAGAACCCAGTCCAATGCGGGCCACACACGTGCAGATTGCGTATGCAAGAGAGAGAGAGAGAGAGGAGGGGAACGAAACTACTAAGGGCGTTATGGGGCATATAACATGCATATTGTATGGCTTCCTTAAGCTCCGCTCCTTAAATGTGCCTGGCAAGCTGGAACTTCCAAAGTACATGTTATAGTTGTCGGGATGAAGCATTCTCTCTCTCTCGAAACACATAAAAGTAATCACTTCGGTGGCTTGTGACCAGCTTTGAGCGAGTCGCTCCCCCCTTCTTCTCACACTCATTCACAACCCTTTCGATTGGGTGTTTGGTAATGGGCAAAGTTCTGATTATAACCAAAGGCTGACACACACATCAAGGATAATATTATGCAACCAATTTGTTCCTTAAGGATACCCAAGCACCTATTATGCCGCCCTGTGGGACTCCAAGACAAAGCTAGGAGGAAAAGATATGCTCTAATGCATTTTCCACGATCATCAGTCAGCAATGTAATGTGAGGAGAGGGAACTTCAAATGAGAACACACTAAATCCGTGCGGCACTACTTACCCACAACATTGAAGGTGTACGACAAGGACATCTTGGGCTCTGTGTTGATTTGGCACTCGTACACCCCCGAATCACGCGGCTGGGGATACTTTATTTGCAGTGTCCAATTGGCCGAGCCATCGGGTCGCAGCACCTGTGTAGATATGTGTACAGAGAAGAGAAAACATTTGTAATCCAATATTAAGTAAGACCGTGTAGGAAACGCTCACCTGGAAACGCTGATCGGATGTGTAGGTGGCGCCGCCGGCGGTGAGTATATGCAGATCACGTTTTCGTATCCAGGAGACCTAGAACGGGAGCAGAAACAGCAGAAAATTGCCATGAAGTGCTTTCCTCAGTTACATTGCTTACGCCTCGGCGAAACGAAAGTTCCGCGCTTGGGGAGCATTACAAATTCCGCACTTAAAAGTTTTTCCCCACCCATGTGTTTCTTTTTTTTTCTTTGTGGCTTGTGTCTGCCGCTGTTGCTATTCACACCACTTAAAGGAGCGGGAGAGCCGCAGCGACAGGAAGTGGACGAGGATGAGGTGGGTAAAATGAAAAACAAAGCGTAAAGTTTTCTTTTCCGTTCATTTTTTCTTGTTGCCGGTTTCCGCTTGCCGCCTGCTCCTGGCGCTGGTTAATCTTTAACATTTTGCTTTTTGTTTCTAGCATTTAATCAACAAACAAACAACGCTCAGCAAAAGAAAACACAGGCGCCAAAGGAGTTCCAAAGGAGAACGGGGGGGGAGAACAACCACGAAAAGTTACCGAGCATAATCCGTGTACATTAGAGCGTGAAAGGACCAGCGTCAGACCGTATGCGCCACGTTGCCCGGAAATGAAAAACGCTCTCAGAGACCGTCATATAAATTGGTCCTAACAATTGGCAACTCTTTAAGCCAGACAGACGACTAGTTGAAAGGTCACTCGTTGCGTCCGTAGAATGTCCCCGAAGCTGCCTGCCTCAGCGCAATTTCCAATTGTTTCAAATAGCCTTCAATCCTTTGGGCCAAAATGGAATCGGTTGGTTGGCGAACTGGTGGAAATGGGGAAAATCGAAAGAAGGGCAAGCAATGAGACAGCTTTGACGCCATTTTCAGCCTTTATTTGGAAGCATTTTTATTATTCCTTGAATTACATTTTCATTTGATTGCCCAGCGCCTTGGCCTTCGCCATTGTCTTTGCCCTTAGCTGGAAAATCTTTTGGGGAAAGCCATTAACCATGATTTTGTGTGTCTCTCCCCGGACTGGGCCGAGATTTTGTTTCGTGCGGCCCGGCATCGGCATCGGCATTGAGCCCTGGCACACTTTTGTGTGCCCTTTTTGGCACATTGTTGCCAATTTATTTGATGACCTTAGTTCTTGTTCCCGCTGTTCCCGGCTATTGTGATACTCAATTTTAATTACATTGCAAAAGTTTTTTCCACAGCCCCGCCCCTGCTCCTCCTCTGGCCCACTGTCCCCGTGAACTTTAAATGTTTGCTGGCTGTCAACATTAAAGTTGAAAATATGCTGTGCTGCCTCATTAATAAAGTTAATTGCTCAGCCCCTTGGGCTTTTACCAAAACCAAAAGTCATCTTAAACGTAAACCATTCAACTATGTGCCAAATTCGGACTCGGAGGCCGGGCCCAAAGGATTGGCCATCTAATAAATTCATTCGATTCGGCATCACCCAGCCATTGCAGGCGGGTCACGTAATACGTAAAAATAAAAATCATTCGCCTGTAAAACTTTTATGGGCTGTCGCTTTTATGCCCATAGGCGATGTCCTGGCCTGGCGTGGCCTGGTCTGGCCTGGTCTGGCCAGATGTAAATTAAATCGCTCAAATCCTGGCTATCCAGGCTATCATTGTTGTGCCAAGCCCTGCACACAGATTTACCCATTTTCATTTCATTGCGTTTCATCGGACAATTGTCGCCGGCACACACAGCGTATGAGCAATGCCATAAAGTTAGCTCGAAATGAACTGCTAAAAAGGGATGTGGCACACACTAAATAACTATTCGAATGGGAATTCAATAGGTGCAGTTTCATTTCAGTCCAAACAAAGCCCTACTAAGCAAAGGTCTTGGGATGATTTTATATTCCAGGCCAGTTGGACTGACCCTAGTCCTGGCCCTGGCCCGCTCTTAAATATTTCATTTTGTCGCTGAAAACTGCAGAAATCAAAAGTGAAAAGTTTTCCAAACCCCAGACGGGAGACGACTAAAGCCCTGCTCAGGTAAAGCCAGATCCTCTGTCAAGCTGGATCTGAGTCCTCAATCTCAGAGTTGCTGAATTCCCTTGAGTGGAGGGAAACTTTGCTCTGGGTGTAATTTTCGTAATGTTTTTAGGTTTAAATAAATACCACAAGCATAGTTTTATATTATTTAACACTTTGTGTTCGTTGTGGCTGAGCGCTGTGCGGCCAAAAACTTTCGCTTTGCTTGCCTCTTCTCCTCTCCTTCTCCTTCTTCGTTGACTACTCTGACTCTGACTCTTACTTTCCTTTTGTTTTTCTGTCATCTACGAGAACAGTAAAATGAAAGAAGTTTCCGCTGCTTGTATGTATGTCGCTGTGTGTCTGTGAGTGTTGGTTAGGGCGAGCGTGTGGAAAACTTGGCGAAAATACATTAAAAACTTTGCTGACGCATTTTCTGCGTCTCTAGCCAAGAGAGACTTTAGACCCGGACCCCACTCGACAGAGCCAAAAAATAGTTGCACTTCCAGTTGCAGTTGCAATTGTAAGTTTGTTGCAGCACTGCCAGCCAGCCACTGGCTTTGTCCAAGCTTAGAAAATGGTGTGAAAATGAACGGAAAAGCAACTCGATCTCGTTTCTCCTGAAGGAGATTCCAATTGGCAAATTACTTCGCATCCATTTAATGAACTCGATACAAATTAAATATTTCCCTTCCACCAAGGGCGACAGTTGCCAGATGAAGACTTCAATGGCAACTTTGTTTTGGAGCAGTTTGTAAACAGAGTTGTAAACAGATTTAAAATTTGGTTCTCCTTTCAGAGCTTTCCCCTTTTTTTTGTGTTGTTTCGGTGGGGAAAGAAGTTTGGTTGTCTGCCGAACTGGCATTAAAAAGGGTTCGCTGCCTTTCCAGAAGGCCTAAAACTTTGTTTAATATACGCGTTTGCTTTGTTGCTGCTGCTGCTACTGCTGTTGTTGGTATTACAAGAGTAAATTGCTCGTGCTCATGTTCGCTGATGTAGCGCCATGGATGGAGCGTTTATGAAAATGTTGGCGGCACTCGGTGCGTAATAAATCAACAGTGAACGGACAATCCTGTGAAGTCAAGTTGAACAAGCGGATTCCGCGCCAGCTTCCGCCAAGGGCAGGCAAAAAATAAAATTCGGTGAAAAAACCAAACCAGGCCCATCACTGAGGGGGGAGGGGGTGGCACCCAGCTTGATATTGTAATGTCGGACTACCGCCCACACGGCCAAAAGGGGCCGGGGTTTCGGTGGAGAGGGCCCGGGCTAACGAACTAGCGGCACGGGCATAAATTACACTCCGCCTTGGAGCGGAGTGGCGCATAATGGAAGCCAAGCGCCGGCAAAGTTATTTGCCGTAACTGTTACACTTTCAATTTTGAGTTTATGGATGCAGCCCTGTCCTAGGCAACCGAGGTGGGGACAGGACTGGGTGCCAGTTCCAGTGCCGCGAAGGGGAAGAGCAAGGGTGCTTTGGCATGTCTTCGCGGGCACTGACAGGGCGCGGTTCCAGTCTGTCAATTACAATTAATGTTTGCAACTTAGCCCGGGGACAAGTTTGTTTTTCAGCCAGCGCATGCTTAACTGCCTCCATTAGGGGGCCGTCCGACAAAGGGATGCCGCTACAAATTTACACACATATGCACAATAAATCGATTGTGGCACAAGGATCGATATTTCTATGCTGTGAAACCTTCTGCAGTTGTGAATGAATATCGCAAGCAGGAAGCATTCCTTGAGCTACACTTCAGCAGCAGGAAATATCTAATAGCAAAGGCATAGAAACGATAGCTAAAACATTCTCAATTTTAAACAGAAAATGTGTTAAAATTTTTGGTATACTTTTTTTGAAACGAACTACCCAAAGGTCTAGCCACAAAGGGAATTACAAACAGTTATGGAGTGCGAGAAGATTGGTGAGTGGGGGCCCGATACTGCCCGATATGAGATACACTATTCGAGGTACCCGTTCGCTCTATCTGCAGTTGAGGCCACCGGCATTGCTGGTGACCACAAACAGGACACGACCCTGGAGCAGGAGCTCGAGGGTGCCCTGTCCTCAAGCAGTGCCGATGATACGCCGCCGGGCATGATCATTGTGGGAAGCCGCATCAGCGGCAGGGAGGAGCTAATGGAACCAGGCGGCGCAGACAAGGATAAGCAAAAGGAGGTCGCGATTGGATTAGGGAAAGATTTCCAGAAGGATGTTGAACTGCCACGGGAGCAGCAACCAGCCTGCTCCATGTCCCTGGGCTTTAAGCCACACGTCCAGTTCCAGCGGGTGCCACATGAGAGTGTTGGCCGCCTCCTGGCCAGCACAGAGGCTGCCCTGGCAGCCGCCAATAGCTCGGCCTACGCCACACCCATGTCCGCGATTCCGGAACCGTTTTCCACATTGCGTCACGTCGTCGACGAGGCCACGCAGTGCAACAATCTGGGCAACGATGTGTCCGCCTCCAGTGAGTCAATGACCTCGCTGGGGTCGCTTGTCTGTCGTATTTGTCATAACGCCGATAATCCCGAACAGTGAGTAGCCCTTTGGATATATAGGCCTATCTATTTATTTATCTATCTATCAATTACGTATGCCAGGACAGAGATAATGGGGCATACCCTGTAGGGCGGGCCCTCTGACTTTTGGGGGTATATTGTTTGGCTTTTTGTATGCCAGATGGGTTCTCGGGAGACTATTGACTCTGTCGAATGATTTTAATCTAGGTGGTGTGCGTGTTATGCCCCACCTTCGCTGTGAATTTACAGGGTATCTTCACTTTCATTTAATTACGTTTGAGCAGCCGCAAATTGTGCAAAGAATTAATTGCGTGACATTTAATGCATTTAGCGAAAGACCCACGAGCAAATGTGAATTTATTTTAATTATTAAAATTAACACTGCACGAAGCTTTTCCTGCCTCTCTCTCTCTCTATCTATCTCTCTTCGTACTGTCTTTCTCTTGGCAGCCGCTTATCTCGCTGGTTGGTTGGTTGGTTCGCCGTCTCTTAATCCCCTGATTTTTCATTGTTGGCGCTGTTTACATAACCCACAACCACCCACAACCACCCACTCCCATCCGCACCCATCCACACCCATCCACACCCACCCACACCCATCCACACTGCTACGCCAAACTCACTGTTCTCGCTTCACTTAGAGTAAGCTCCCCTTCGTACTTTGCTGATGTTTTCATTCCGATTTGTTTGCAGACTGGTGTCGCCCTGTTTGTGCAAGGGCTCGCTGACATATGTCCATGTGCACTGCCTGGAGCGCTGGATTAGCACCTCGCACTGCACGATATGCGAACTTTGCCAGTTCCACTACAACACGGAGCAGACGCTGCGGTAAGTGAAAGAAGCAGGAAGCAGAAAGCGGGCACCAGGCAGCAGGCAGCTGGAGATCAAAGACGCCCTCGGCTCACAGCTCCACGGCTTTTTAATCAGCTGAGCTGCCGCTGAGTCGGCTTCTCCTTTTTTCCGTACTGCTAATTGCACGCCCTGTCTTCGTCAGTGGTTTACTGGGACTCTGATTCTGATTCTGTCTCTGTTTCTGATTGTGATTGTGCATCGCTTTCTCTCCTTGTGATGTAGGTACTCCTGTCTGCAGTCGCTGCGAATTTGGTATTCGCGTGCCATGAGCCGCCGGGCCCTGCAGGAGGACTGCCAGATGTTCTCGCTGCTCACTCTGGTGGCCTTTGGGATCATTGGCACCCTGCTGGTGGGCATCCAGTACTATGCCATGAACAATCAGTCCTGGGCCATGAGCAAACTCTGGACCAAGTCCTGGATGCTCTTCTTTCTGTTCATGACGGTGAGAGGGATTCCTCACAGCTCTAATCTTAGCCTCTAATCGGCCTCTGCCTTCCACAGGTAACAGTGTACTTTGCCAATATTTTCATGCTGGTCAAGTCCCAACTGACGCCTTGGTATCGGTAAGTAGATCCGTAAGCGACTCTTGAAACATCTATCACATAGTCTTCCCCCTTTTTCCTCCAGCTGGTGGCAGTCTGCAAGAGATATCAAACTGATTCTGGAGAATCGGCGACCCTTTCCGAACCCGAGTCGCCTGAAGCACCTGGCCGTCGACGCCGGCTCGCTTTCCGCCTCCATGATCACCCATCACGATCAGCAAGAGCTGCCACCACCCGTGCCCGTGACCTCTGTGCCGACAACCTCCAGCGAGGAGGAGCAGCTTGGTAGCAAGGCCGGCCGTCAGTGGGGCAAGCGTATGGAGAGCGCTATGCTGGCTGCGGCCATTGCAGCCACAGTGGAATCGATTGCTGACGCTAGTGCCCGGGAGAGCGAGAGCAAGGCTGAGCAGGAGCGCGGCCAAGAGCAGCGTCGTACCGAGCAGCCATCTGAAGGCACCGGCAACTAAAGGGGCAATGAAAAGAGCCACGCAGACAGACGGACATTGGAGACGGAAAGGAGCAAGAGGCATGGCGGTGGCATGGCGGTGTTTGCGTGTCATTTGTTTAATGTAGTTTCAATACTTTTAATGAACTTTCCCAATGAGCGGACTTCAATTAAGTCCGGGCCTGATGATGCTGCTGTTCTAGTTCCTGTTCCGGCTTCTGTTCGTGGCTGTGTCCTGTGTCCTGTGTGGTGCGTGGTGCGTGTCGGTGCCTGCACTTTGCCTTTGACGGCTTCCTTCCCTTCGAGCCGCATAACTTCCGTTTCCTGTCTCGCCCCTTCATACCCAAACCGCCAAAAGCGAGGAAATTAAAGCTGATAGCAGTACGAGGCACGAACCAGGAGAGACTGGTGCTGCTGGCACAAAATGGCTGATGGGAGAGGCAGTCACGTGATTGATGGCTCATAAATTAGTCATTTTCCTTTAGTCGGTGTGTTTGTTTGTGTGTGTGTGTGCGTGGAGGGAACTCGTTAAGGCCAGGAACACGCCTATGCCTGTGACGGGGCAACACCCACAGGACGTTGCTCAGTTGTCGCCTGTCTTGTTTGGCCATTTTTCTCCCACCTCGAGTGCAGCCTCCAAATCACCCAGTAATTTAGTCTAAGCCTCTCTCTCTATCCCTCTCTCTTTCCACCCCCGTATCTCCCTCTCTATCACTCTGCTATTATCTAATAACAGCACGAGTCCTGGTTGCCAATGTACACTGGTTCAAGAGCCGGATTGAGTCAAGGCAACCTCCGTGCGGTGTTTGAATTTTGAATTATTAGACGCACAGTCACCACTTGTGACCACTGTGAGCCAACGTCTGGTATGCTCTGGCCAGGGGCTACGGCTAAGCCTGGCTAAGTACGGGACCGAGCTGGACTGAGCCGGAGTTGGGCGCCTAACGTGCTGGCCATTTTGACATATTAGGCCCTGGCAACGTCAGTGCTCATTCTGAAGGGTTAACAACCCACAGCGACCTTCAATCATTTGCCTGTGGACCAACCCAATGCGTAGGCAATCACGGCCAGAATGATTGAGTGCCTGCAAATCCCAAGCGGAATTTTCATCTACGAGTATCTGGCACAGTTTCCATATGCTCTTTTTTCCATTCCTTTATAGCTGGATCATACCCTTTCCGCGGGTCTGCCCGTTTCTCTTACTTCCATTGAAATGATGAAAAATTCTACAACTTTTTTCTTAACTTTGAATTATTACAATAAAATGTGTACAATATACTTCTGCATTTCCTCTAATATTTCCCATCTACAGAAAGAGATTAAGAAATCAAATTTAGAATTTTGCTAAATATTCCAGGGTATTTGCTCCTCTAAAGCCGACGAAAAAAATCAAATATCGATTGTCCATTTTGTAAAAAAATTTCGTATGCTGAAAATAGGATGACCACAAAAATTCACAATTGAAGGATAACATTTTTGATGCCACTTTGCTTTAAAAAAAAAGAGTACATATCTTAAAGACATATTAATTCTCTTAGGCTTGATGTGAATATTGCATATACACGTTGGTATTATCTACAGGATCCATCAAAGTTCTTTTTTATACAAATTCGGAAAGAGAAATGTTTGAACAGCGATGATCTCAAAATATATATCTTTTCGTCCTACATTATTTTTTGTTCAAGTTTACTTACGTCCTTATCGCCCAGCCGCTCCACGCGGCAGTGGAGGAAGCCGGTCTGGCCGACGGTTACGGTCAAGTTGCGCGGCACGTCAAAGTCGAAGTAGGGCAGCAGATTCGAGGGCGAGATGGTAGTGGTCGTGGTCGTGGGCGGCGTGGGGGCAATCGCAGCACTGTAGCCTGGAAGGAAGAACAGATCGAGAGGGCGGGGATGTAGCATACATTGCGGCATAAAAGCTTGTGCCAAATGGAAATTTATTTCCATTTTCATTCACACATATGTGTGTATGTACGGGGCAACGTATTGTATTGTTGGTTTTAGCAGAGCATTCAAATGCCCCGACCCCAAAAGGCCTGGCCACAACTTTTGGTGGCAGCCAAAGCCCTAACTGAAACTGAAAAGTAATAAAATTCGCATAAAAACTCGGCTCAAAAAAACACACATAAACAGAAAACCAACAAACGGATGTAGCGGGGCATAAGTGGGGGGATATTTGTGTGTATGTGTGCGAGTATATGGCACAAAAAATCCTCAACAAACAATTATATTTCGCTTTTTATTTCTTTGGCATTTGTTTGGAGAAGCCAGACTTGTACCTAAGTGCTGAGTTTTCACTGGAAAAGACTTGAAAATCGTTCAAGTCATTTGTTTAACCACGTGGATGGTTTTTGTCTTATTTAATAACGAGTGCTTGTAGAAAAATGTTTTTGAAGATACCAAAGGAAGTGTTGGGCATTTTTTAAATGTCATTTGACAACAAAAATATTCGAATTTTCATAGTTTAAAGCGCTCAGCAGAAGTCGCTCTGAAAAAGAGAAAATTTGGGTAAGAAAAGCACAACAGTCGATATCAAGCCGTACCGTTTAAGTTAAATATTCTTATCCCTTTCAGTCTACCGCGATTTCATATAATGAATTAACAATGCAATAGATAATGCCTTACATACTTGTTTTTATCCAAGTATAATTATTGGAATTCCGAGCTTTGTCGGCGTTCGAATAGATGAATACTTATCCATATTTTATTCCTAGTGAACAAAAGCGTTGGTGGGTGTGGGGGGGACTGGGCCAATTATGACAGCAAAGAGGTTTTCCGGCCATCAACGCATTTCACAAATGTTTATGGGCGGGGGAAAAGTTGTCCATGCAGAGCCAAAAAGTTGGCTGCTGCAGTCAGTTGGAGCCAAGTTACTGTAGATAAAGCCCAAAGAAGCAGACGAAACAGGGTGAAATAAGTTCATCAATACGACACGATGGGGGCAGATGGGGCTCAGTGCAGAATGTGGGGTGGCGAAAACTTTGCTCACATCAAAGCAACGAACCAATCGTCGTAGATCACAAGCAACCAACTGGAATAGGAATAATTGAATGAGGCGATACGAGACGAGTTTCAAACTGCTGCTAGCTGGCGTCAGTTTATCGAACTCCGTGCTAAGCTCCGGACTAGCAGTGAGGAATCAAACGGTCCCCCGCCAGGCCATCGCCTGCCGAAGGAGAAAAACTGCTGTTGCACATTTCCGTTTCCGCACGCGCCAAAAAAAAAAGAAGTGAAAACTTTTCTTGGGCGCACGCACAGGGCACATGCACACACAGACAGCTGGAAAACATACGCAAACTTTTTCCACATGCGTAGAAACGTGAAAACATGAATCGACGCCACCACAGCGAAGGTGGGGGTGGGCGGTGCGTTAGTGGTGGTTGGGCCACAATGGAAATGTGGTGGGTGGTGTGTGCTGAAGACATGACAAATTTTGCGATTTACTTTCGTTCTTTTTTTGAAAAATTTTTAACACAAAGTTAGATTTAATGCGCGCCCGCATCATTTTCGTACGTGCGGCGTTCCATCGCCTGCCAATATGCAAAACATTTCGGCATAGATAATAATGTAAGAGGAGCATCGGCAAAAAGTTGGAAGCTTCTGGCGAATAGGTTATGCTCTAACCTTGGTGGAGCGAAAAAGTCTTTGCGTGTGAATAGAATAGAATAGAATAGAATAGAATAGAATAGAATAGAATAGAATATACGATAGGAAGGAACTTATTTCTTATGATACTAAACTGTTAGGCAATATTAACCAAACTAACATCCCAATATTGCCATGTGATTATTACCACAGGTGAGTGAAGGTCGCATCAATATTATTTCAGCCGCCCTTATTCCATATTGTCCTAAGAGAGCTACCTACAATCAGGACCCTTCATGATACTCTACACTCTACCTACCGCCAGACAGATACCTACAACAGGCTATCACAGGCCACCGAAAATTAGCTTAGCCATGTTGCACGTATGCGTGCGAGGCGCATAAACAGTGTGCCCCGCGTGCCAGTGGGAAATTCACTGAACGGGAGCAGGGTGTCATGAAACGGAACTTAATTTATTGTTTATCAGCAAGCATGCAATTTATGCCCAAAACGGGAAAGATTTTGATCCAAAAATGTATCCCCAAACTCGCGGACTCCCGCTCTGGCTTGCCCTGTTTTGTGATGTCTGTGTGTGCGATGGGAAGTTTGTGCTAATTTTAAGTTTATGCATGGAAAATTGGCTCATGCTGTGAAAATTAACGATCCGGCTGGCGTCGCCAACAGCCTGTCGATGCCTCCAATTTGCTGTTTGCCTGTTTGCTTGTTTGTCGTGGGCCCACTGTGACATTTGATAACGAGAGAGCACTAGAACGGCAGAACAGCAGCTGGAAGCTGTCGGATGCTGGCCTGGGCCCTGGTCGGCCGCTTAATCAAAAGTGTTCAACACGCCCGCGAACGCGAACTGGCATGATGCATGGCCAAAAACCCTCCCCCCCCCGCCACCACGACAAAGCTTCGTCTGCGGTCGAAGGACCAAAAATATTTGTCGACTTTTCAACCCGAAAATTAGCAAATGTGGTGGAAAATGTTGCGGTTCTGGGGAGGCGGGCATGGGCATATGAATATTTATGGAGGTAATCCATGTCGAACGGCCTCAACTCAAATTTCCCCCGAAAAAACGAATGGCTGACTGTTTAGAGTCGATGGGCACATCAATTGAGCGTGAAATGCAGTCGAAGGTGAATATTTGTTCGCTGGTTAATCTCTATTGAGTCTCCACTGAAAGCATATTTGCTGAAGCCAAGTGGAACGTCGAGACCCCTTTGGATTGTTCATGATCCCGTGCACTTAAGGTTTAGTTGCACTGACATCGCACTGAGGCATTGAGTGGCAGAGTGGCAGTAGAGACGATGCACCCAGCAGGGGCTTCCTTCGTCTTGCTTGACTTGGCACAAAACAGTCTAGACGCCAGTGGAGGGGAGGACTACTGAGAGAGTGATTGAGCCAGAGACAGCTTGAGCTTCCTTAAATATATGCTGAGCTATCGATTATGCTCCAAAGTGTTTCCGTTTTGGCGTCGAACGTCAGTACCCCCCGCCAACCATCCTTTAGTGGGAAACAGCTATAAATATTTGCTTAGCGAATTGCTCTTGCAACGCTGTGTGCTCTCTGTGCTCGGGAAAATTCAATCAAACTCTAAATTTGAAATGAAAACGCTGATCAAGGGGCAAATTAGCAAATGTACGTGGCTATAACTCTAAGAAATGATCCCTTGAGCTCGGAAAATGGCTACCATGCAATTAGCGAGTATCTTTCGATAATTCCAATAGTTTTTGTAATCCATGCCCAAAAGCTAGGCAATCAGCAAAGTTCCAATTGAATATGCTCAAAGTAATCTGAAACTGAGCCAACGGGGAAAAAGTTGATTTGGCTTACACTTGTGTCCTGGTTTTCTGGGTCTTGGGGTGTATTTTTTATGCCAGTTGAGTAAGCCACAAAGCAATCTTTCTCTTCTCTAAGGTCTGGGTGAGCGAAACTTTCCTTTTCGAGCGTCGCCATTTTTATGACCAACAATGTCTGCCCTGCCCTGCCCTGGTCCGCTTTCATTCCATCACTCAGTTGGCATTATTAGTGGCACATTTGGAATTTATGATTATTTTCTTGTTGGATTCTGGCTGTAATGTGGCCCCTCCATGAATGCTTAAATACAAATACGCATACAAATCGGGCGAAACTATTAAAACTAGGCAGCCATGACTCACAATGAGGCGACAACTTGGGCAATCAAATGATTCAAGCTGCGATTCTTGACATCCCAGAAACTGTCGTTAGACAGCGCCGAGCGATGTCGCATTTCAACGAGCATGAAAACCCATGAAAATGTTGCAAAGATGAACCGCTACCGCCATACCATACCATCCCTCATTGAAAAACCGCCCCCCGCTTACATTTGCATGCGCCCCACATGTCGGGCAGTGGGTGGGGGAAAATTCCGAATAAAAATCAACCAAAAAAATGAACAAAAAATCGGAAACGAAATCAGATAAACGACTGCTGAATGCTGCTACAAGTGACGGATGTGTCTCGTAAACGCTTCGTCGAGATCGTTTCACAGATGGAAAATAAAACTCAGAAATTATCTGGAATCGGTTTAAGCCCACGCTCATGCTCTTGCACAATCAGAGGTGCGAGAAAGAGATGCCACCAACCCCTGAACAGAGGTGGTATCATCAAGGAGATGCGGTGCTCCGTATATCTATAGCCCCTTGTGCGAGCCACATGCTGAAGGCTTGAGTGTGTTGACACTGCCACCAGCACCAGCACACACATATACACGTACAATGATTGTCTAGTGGCACAACTGCTGGCGTTGGCAAGTTCCCACATCGGGGCGGTATTCCAGCTGAGCTCAGCAGATGCCTCACCAGCACCAGAGGGTCCTCAGTGCGGGCCACACCACAAAGTGCGCTTCACTTAAATACAGACATTAATCGGAGCAGAGAATCTTATTTTCTAGCTGTTGGCATTCCACACACACACATTGGGCGTACTTCATCATCGAAATCGATTTGACCTCGGCTCTCCACCGTCCGATCCATCCGCCCTGAAACTGCAATTGTGAAAACAATTTCAGCTGCTTTATTGTTTGTAAATGCAATCCTATATTGGTTAACCGGCAAATAAAAGTCGCTCTCTCACTCTCTCTCTCTCTAGCTACCGCTGGCTTTTTCTTTTCGAAAAATTGATTACACTTAATGGCGCAGCTGAAACTGTAAAGTACCGACCACACGGCGCGTATGTGTAATGTTGGAGCAATTATCATTGGCATATTGCAGGCCATTCGCCAGCATTTGGCCTGTGGCCATATTTCACTTCC